TATTGCAAATCCCCAAACCAATCATTTTGAAATTTTTGATTCTAAAAAGACTCCTACAACTTTAATGACAGTTTTGACTTCTGACTCATTTGCCTGATGGTCTCGCCATAGCTTTGATTGTCATTTTAGTTGGATTTATTGCTGCCAGTTAGAGTAAGCCCTTATGCATCTGTGGCAAATGTTATCTCCATGAAACCACAGGCATGCTGTGAATAAATCTATAAGAACTAGTGAGAGATCACCACATTGGTATCCCAGGATGCTGAGGTTTAACAGAAGCTTTTGGAAGCAAGTAAAAATAATAAGCAACATATAGTACTAGCTTATATTGAGAAAGAAGAATGAGTTTGTAATATGGAAAAATAAAATTTTAATCTTAACCTATAAAAATAGAGTGATTATCAAGAGATCAATGCCAAGACTGGTCTCTTTTCCTTTTTCTTCTTGGCTTTCTCCTTGTTCTTCTTTCTTCCTTTGTTCTACTAATGTTCAAATTAATTTCTCAAGAAAAACAAAACAAAAACAAAAACAAAAAAACAGAAGAAACCTAAGGAAAACCAGCCTCCACAATGTTATCATTTAACATTGAACAATGAGGCAGAGATACAGAGTAGAACAAAGGTTGCAGGGTCAGCGCTGAAGCCAAGCAGGTGGAGCAAAGACACAAAAGAACTTTATCTAGGTGTATTGTTAGCTCACAGGTATGCAGATGGGGGCACGTGGAGTCCTCTGAGGGACAGGCAGGTTTATAGGTCCTCAATGTTCTACTGTCTTTTGTCTCAGTATTTATTACATACACATTACCTTAATATACATACAGAAGCAATATCTTGATTCCAGTGCCAGTTAGATTCTTATGTTTTGCAATGCAATTTGCAATCTAAAAAGAAAAGAAATATGAAAGGAAGAAGAAGGGAGAAAGGAGAGAATACATGTAAGGACAATAGGGTAGGGAGAGACAGAAAGAGAGAAAGAAAATTGAGATTAAGGGCCAAGTTCTTCTAGTTTGGGTTGCCCTCCTAGGGGATTTCAAAGTGGCTTTGGCTCAACTTTGATCTTAAATTGCAAATCCCTGTAAA